CAGGAGGGGGAAGAGGCGCCGCAGTGGCCCCTGCAGCCCTGGTGGGGCCTGTCTTGCCTCTGCCCCATGGCCACGGTTTACAGTGAAGACTATCTGGCTAGCTCAGCTCGGTGCAAGTGAATAGAAAGAAGGTGAATCTCTTGGGGTCTGGGCAGAGACAGCAGGCGGAGGGGCTGGCTGACTAGGTATGTTGAATGTGTTGATGAACATCTGAAAATAATTCACCAAGGAAAATCCACCCAAATGCACGTCAGAGGAAAGCCGGGGAATGCGCAGAGTCCTTCTCACAAGAGAAGCCCCTACCCAAGTCTCTTCCTGCTCGCATGGCATTACCCACCATTTCCTTCGTTCCTCTCTTTTCTCAGTGTGGTCGTTACAGGGTCTTGCGACACATTTCACAAGAGTTGGGTGGCACCCCACGGTCCTGACAAAGCTCCAAATAGGGTAATTATATTCTCCCATCCTCACTTCCCCCTGCGGTTCTAGCTGCCCCTGGTATCCCTTCACTTCCTGTCCTAAACCGATGCCTGTTGTTTCCAGGCATGTTGAACAGCTTTCCTGTTTCACTGCCCTGGCTGTGACTGCACTTCAGCAGTGTCATGATTCATGGGTGTGTGCAGTCTGTCTATATAGATATGCATGGACATATGGGGAGCCAGCCGGGGTTCCAGTATTTAGGATGCCTAGCACACACTGGGAATGCCTGGGAGCTGTCACAACTATTGCAGTGGCAGGGGTGGGACGGAGAGACCTGTACCATGTTCCCCTGCACCTGACCTCACTGGACTTGGTCCATGGCCCCAGCAGCCCATGCCCCATTCTGAGAGCACCACAAGGGGCAGGAAGTCCTCCAATCCCAGGGGCAGAGGGAAGAGAGAGCTGAGCGGGGCTCCCTCCAGCCATCCCTCTGGAGCCAGCACATGGCCCCAACAGTCCATACCTCACTCTGGTGCTATCATGTGGGGCAAGAGTCTCTCACTGCTGCACTGGGATCCTCTTGGCTACGCCCCAGACACACCACAGGGCACCAGAGGCCCATCCTCCTCCTGGAAAAGCAGCCGTCTCATGCCGCTAGCCCTGTAGCTCCACGGACAGCGGCCTGTGCTGGGGCCTCAAGGACTGGGGCTCAAACCCTGCCCTGTTTCACTTGCATACAATGGGGTTTATTTTTACCATTTACAGATAACCCAGGACATTCCAGAAAAAGGGGGTGTCAAAAGAATGATAGCCAGGCTGCAGAGCCGAGCAGTTGAAACTCATGACATGCCAGATATAGAGCTGCCTGTGCGGTTTCAGTTCTGGCCCCTTGTGTGCACGCGCTAGGAGACGGCCTTTAATTACATAAGCACCCACTATTTTCCCCCAGGACCATGCCTCACTCAGTGCACAGCACAGGCACACAAAGGGGCAGAATTAAGGTTGCACAAACCACCATAAACCTGGCACTTCCCACCTGTCAAATGCTTGACTGCGGCCACCTCTAGGGGGAAGGTTGGCTGCTGTTAACAGTGCACACACCACTGCATAGTGCTTTCATGGCTCTGCTGGATCTTGGTTCTCCTCTCACCTCTTCGACTGCACTTCCAGCATCCCTTAGTAGGTCCTGTCTCTGCTCCCTGTCGGCTTTGTCCTTGGTCCCCTGATCTTCTAGCTGCACATCTTACTCCGGAGTGGCTTCATCTGCTTGCATGGATTCAGTCATGGTACCATATCGGTGCTGAGGATTCAATCACCCACGTTTTTGCCTCTGCCCAGCCCTGTGCCCGTCTCTCTGACAACACCTGAGTAGCTCACGGCCAGGCTACACTCAACACGGCCAAAACAGGGCTCCTTATCCTCCACAACCTACTCCCCACTTCTGCCCCTCTCCTCGGCCATATCACCACCACTCTCCTCGAAATCTCGCAGGGCCAGGAGCTTCAGAGCATTTTCAGCTCCTCCCTCACACCCTAGCTATTATTAGCTTTGCTGTTTCTCCCTCCAGGACCCTTCCCTTCCATCTCAGCAGCTCAGGCATGTCCCTGCCCTGGACATATCCCACTGTGATTACTGCAGCTTCCTTCCCCATCCCAATTCCCTCATCACTCTCTTTGAATCCCTCCTATGACTCCCCCTTGGCTTGAGCATCAAGCTCAGCGGCTCATCCTCTCCCCCTAGGCAATGCACAGCTCTGCCTGCATCTACTGTCACCTCCTACCTTGTACTCTTTGGGGTGTCAATGATTTTATCCCCCTTCTTCCTTCTCCTACCCATGGCTTTGTGCCTCCTTTCATCATGCTCCTTGTGCATGGACCAAACTCCCAGTTCTACTGCACCAGGCCTCTTGCTCATTCAAACCTGTCCTAAAGAATCAATTCTTCCATGAAACCCAGAGACACAGGTCATGAAAAATCCCTCTCCAACTCAGTGACGTGTATCTGGGAAAGATGAAGATGAAGAAGAAGAATAGCTAACAGCACCATGGGCTATGCAGAGTGTCTTCTCCTCTCTGTGTCAGTTCCTCAGACAGGGACTGTTTTTATCCGCTTCATGTACAGCTCCTGGCATGCTGGCAAGAATAAGGAACATGCTACAAGAAATGCCAAAGTGTGCAGAGGGGACCGGTAGCCAAAATCCTGGAGCGCACATAAATTTGTGTTTCTATCCTGGGCAGCAACTGGAAGGCTGTAGTCACTTAACCTGCTGCTTTGAGACATTTTTACTTTTGGAGTCTGTTATCTGGGTTTGGATAAAGGCTCCTTCCTGCTTCAGTAACAGAAAGCCAGGCACACGAACACACAAAGTAGCACTTGTGTGCACGCACACACACTCACACACGCACACACACTAGCAGCAACCGCATTCTGATAAATTCAGTCATCCATAAGGGCAGTCTAATCCTCTTGGTGAGGAGGAGTGAGAGACTGCCAGCACCTGGGAGATGCTGGGACAGGACGGTAGCGCGATAGATGAATGGATAACTCCAGGAAGGTACTGCTGTAAGGAGACAGGATTGCAGCTAATCTCACATGTAAATACCAAATAGAACTGGAGGCCAGGCTCACAGAGGTCCAAGGGAGTTCAGCGGGACCAGGAGTGGGTCCTATATCTACACACCACCACCTGTGGCTATTGCCAGCTGGTACTGCAGTGAGCTGCACCTCCTCAAACACCCTGCATGGCTCAGCACGATTCACTCGCATGCACAATGTCTGGTCAGAGCTTTAACAGATTCACAGGATTCCTGGAGTTCTCCTCTGAGTTAGCTCATGGTACGCAGGCCATACTGGGTTGATGGAGCCCCTCCACTCACCAAGTGCTGCTGGGACTGTTAGAACAGTCAGCTGCCAGGCTGGCACAAGCCAAGTCCCACCAGATGTTTATGAGTGAGGGCTGGATAAAAGCATGTGGGGGTCAGGGCCCTTAGCTTTACTCTGGCTCTCCACAGCGCCTTTCCTCCACCAGCGGGCTGGCTCGGAGAGCTTTCCTCCCAGCTGCCTTCCTCCTCCCCACCCATTCACGTCTCACACAGGAGTCCACAGATGGCTGCGTGACTGCCCAGTGCACACTCCTCCCCTCAGAGCTGTGCTGTGCACTGAGAGGCAGTTGTACGATCTAAGCATGGCTGTAAGTTAGAGGGAAAACCAACCATTCAACCAAACCTGGCACTGGCCGGCAGCGCTGAGCAGCCACGCACCTGGATCCAAGCCCGGGCACTCAAGGAGCAGCTAGGAAGGGGCAATTTGGTGCACAAGAAACATGGGAGAAGCCTGCATCTGACAGCCTGCTGGAGACTGGGGCCGCTTGGCACATTAGAAGCAAGTCACCCACAAGCCCATTGTCTCCAGGTCTCCTGCTACTGCTATATCTATCCCCAGCGACCCCTCGCCCATAACTGTAGGCCCAGCTCCCGGGAGCGGATGCACAGCAGACAGGATGTTGCCAGGGTTCTGTGTATTGGCTGCATGTCTCTAAGCCCTTGTGGGGCCTTACAGCTGACGCAGGTTCTACGGGAACAGAACCCAGGGGGGTGCCTGGCCTTGTCACCCTGATGCGGTTTGTCCAGTGATTGTTTCCAGTGGTTCCAGCCTGCCCACAGTGGCTACAGCCCCACACTGCGGCACACATTTCTGCAGAGGTGTTGGGAGGAGATGGGCCACCTGGGACTGCTCACTGGCCCGAGGGAGGGTCCCATGGGGCAAGGCGTGGCCTTACTATGTCCTGTGCATGTCTTTGGGACCATCCCTGGGTCAGTTTGTTGCTTGGGGAGCCTCACGGCCATGCAAATGCCAGCCCCTGGCAGAAGCGCACATCCATCCCTAACATTGTACTCTCCCTGGCATGAGGATAGTCGTTTCCTGAATGTCTTCGGGAGACAGAGCACTTACCGAGCACTCCTGCAAACAACCCACCCCTAACAACAATGGGTCTGAGCGTCCACTTTGCGGTGTGTATGTGGATGCGTGTGTTTGTTCAGATGATGATTACCGGGGGGAGGAGAGTTCCTGACTGACATGTACACACTTCCGTGTTCTTAACCAAGTTTCATTTTCAAAGAGCTGCTTTGTGACCTGCACCAGCCAGGGCCTGCCCCAAGATGGCACTGGGTCAGATCCGAGACCCTCTGAGCACCACCGCTGCTGTCCTCTGGCCTGCCTAGATCCAGGGCGGAGGACTGAGAGATGACCCTGCCTGCTCTCTCTGACGCACCCAGGTGCCATGACGAGCGCCTTGCCCTCCGCCCACCCTTGCCCTGACACTGCTCAAACAGACCTAGAGCAGGTGGAGATGGTCACAAGACATGCCAAGCACTGGTGTGATCTGACCAGTACGGGGAGCACCTCTGACATGTAGCCTGAACAGGGCGGGTTTACAAAGGCACCAGTGCTGGGATCAGCAAAATTCCCAAGTGTAGCAGGGGCTTGCCCAGATGGCGCCTTTCCTAAGCTAGACCAAGAGGGTACAGAGCAGAGAAGGAGACCAGTGCAGTGGGTGAGCTGCGGTTCATTTGCATGTCTTACCTGTCTCTGAGGACCGATTGGTTCGGATTCCCGTCTGCGCTGTCGGAGAACTGGTGCTGAGTGTAACGGTGACTGGGCCGGGCTTCCTGGCTGCTGTTCAGGTTTGCTGTCAGATACCGTTTGACAGTGTCCTTCATGCCTGTGTGAACTGTCCTCCTCAGTCACAGGCTGCATCCCCCATGTTCTCCCATCGTGGATCTTTGGCCGGACTGCAGCTTCCGCTCCCAATCGCCTCCTCTCCTCGCCCTCGTCAATCGGCCTAAGCTCCTCGGGCTCTTCGTCTGTAGTTCCAGAAGTGCTCGGCTCAGCACCTGGATGAAAGTCCTTCAGCTCCGTCTCTTTATCAATGATAACCCACTCCTTGCTATCAAAGTCCTCCTCCTCCGCCAGCGGCACGGAGCGGAAAGCATTGCTGAGGGCCTCGTGCTCCACAGAAGCAGACACATCCATCCTGCCGCTCGCCTGACGGTCTACTTGGCCAGTGTCGATGGACAGCATCTGTGCTGGTTGGGAGGAACACACCAGCCGCGAAGGGGAACAAGGTAAATCTACACGAGATCTGAAAACAAGACAAAGAACCCTTAGAAACCAAGATCTGAGCCAAGATTTAGGATCACAAGGACATTAGGAGCCAACACAAAACCCACATGGTCTCTCAGAAAACCCATGTGATCCCTTCCCAATCCTCTGCCATACACCCAAGTAATATATCACCCAGCTTAACCGAAAATATGTAACTAGAACCTTCAATGATAAAAAGAAATCCCTTCCGAACTGCTTCAGGCTTAGGGCCAACTTCATGTCTTTTCCTTTTAAATGACTACAAGGAGAATATGGGAGTTTCACACCACTGGGAAACACCCCTTCAGGCCGCTCTCCTTCTGGTCAGCCTGTTTACAGTAGCACTGTAGTTTCCTTGGCACCAGGCTTCCCGTAACCTGATGACAGTCCTCTAACCCAGGCTACAAAAGTGCCTTGAAGACAGAGGGAATACTGGATGCTCATTTCATATCAGGGTTTTTTTACAGCCTTCCCAGAGGAGCAGTGGGGAAAAAAAAAAACCTAACTGGCTTCAAGACTGAGCTTTATAAGTTTATGGAGGGGATGACCTGATGGGACTGTCTACAATGGCATGTGGCCCATCTGCAACTGCCAGTAGCAAAAATCTCCACCAACTGAAGACAGGACACTGGATAGGCAGGGCTCAGAGTTACTACAGAGAATTCTTTTCCAGATATCTGCCTGGCAGGTCTTGCCCACATGCTCAGGGTCTAACTGATTGCCATATTTGGGGTCAGGAAGGAATTTTCCCCTGGGTCAGATTAGCAGAAATCCTGGCGGGTTTTTTTTTTTGCCTTTCTCTGCACTATGGGGCATGGGTCACTTGCAGGTTTAAACTAGTGTAAATGGAGAATTCTCTGAACCTTGAAGTCTTTAAACCATGATTTGAGGACTTCAGTAACTCAGCCAGAGGTTATGGTCTATTACAGCAGTGGGTGGGCAAGGTTCTGTGGCCTGCAATGTGCAGGAGGTCAGACTAGATGATCACAATGGTCCCTTCTGATCTTAAAGTCTATGAGGGTTTGACTTAAGGTGCACATGTGCCCATGCACCTTTGATCAGAGATTTTCAGGAGCAGTGCTCATTTGGCCCTCATATTCACCCTACGCATCCTCATGCCCTACACCGAGGCTATATGCATGGGTGAATTGCCCTCAGTTCTTTCTCCACCGCAAAGTCCCTCAGAGGAAACTCTAAAGCAAAGGGAAAGGAGGGTGGGGAGTGGAGCACGCACAGGGGCACACATCTCAAAGAACTCCAGGTACTGTGCAGGGTAAGTAAATGGAGGTTACTTATCTGTAACTGGAGGTTCTTCAAGATGTGTGCTCCCTATCCATCTTTCACATGCGAGTCCGCATGCGCACCACGAGCCTGAGTCTGGAGATTTTTAGTAGCAGTGTCCGTTGGTCCCTATGTCGAGTTCACACATGGGAGATTTGCGAGCAATGGTCAAACGTAAGGTGGGTGCGAGGGCGCAGACGTGACAGCTGACTGTAATACTGCCATCCCCACAGCTGTGTCTGTAGTAGAAGACTGGACCAAAGCGTGATGAGCAAGGGGCTCCAGGTAGCTACCCAACATACCTCCAGCAGAGGTACCTCTCTCAGACATGCAGCAGAGGTTGCTTGTGCTCTGAAGGAATGGGACCTCTCTCCCTCCAGGGATGCGAGCTAGTTGGTAGCAAAGGATAATGCAGCCAGAGATCCATTTAGAAAGTCTCTGTGCAAATAGAGCTTGACCCCTTGATTTCTCTGCTATTGACAAACAAAGTGTAGGCGTCTTTCTAAGTGCTTTTGTTCTTTGTACATAAAAGGCCAGCACTCTTCAGACATCTAGAGAATGAATTGGCCTTTCCTTATCAGACTCATGCAGTTTTGGGGAAAAAAAATTGGTAAGTGGGTTCTTTCTCTCATGTGCAACTCTGAAATTACGTTAGGGATGAATTCCAGGTGGGGGTGAAGAGATGTCTTTCCTTTATGAAAGGTATATATGGTACGTCTGCCATGAGTGCTCCTAGTTCACTGATTCTTCTGGCTGATGTGATGGCAACTAGGAAGGCAACTTTCACTGAGAGGTGGGACATAAGAGCATGTGGCTAAAGGTTCAATGGGAGGTCTGGTGAGAGATGAATGAACGAGGTTGAGGTCCCATTGAGGGGTTGGCTTCACCAATGGTGGGAAGGATCTAAGAAGTCCCTTCAGGATGTAGGTGTGAGGACAGGAGTCCACACTCAAACTTTCTACGGGCTTTGTCCGCCAGACAAGAGAGGCTAGAACTGACAGAATTATTACTTAGGCAACGATGCTGACTTTTTCTGGTGAGTAGACGGACTGAAGCCAGGTTTGCCAACAATAGGATGGAGCCTGGCAAATGACGTCATGTGTGTGCATGAGACCTTGTGGCCAAGGAAGGAGAGGCAAGCTTTGACTGGAGTTCACGGTCTGAGGGTGACCTGGTTTATAGGGTCTCCTTGGCATGGAATCTTTTGTTAGATACATAGGCTCTTGCTGCAGTCAAGTCCAAGGTCACTCCTATGAAATTTATGGACCTAGTGTGGGGGGTTAAAGTGGACTTTTTGTGGCTGACTCAATTCCCGGGGAGGTAGTAGATTGAGGAGTAATCGGGTTGCCAATTGGACTTCCTTGTATGATCTGCCTGTCAGAAGCCAGTCATCGAGGTATGGGAAGACAGTCAACCCACTGCCACCACTGAAAAGACCCTTGTAAAGAACCTGGGTGCCATAGCTAGCCCGAATGGAAGGACTCTGAATTGGTAATGGTCATGACCAATGAAGAACCTGAGGAATCTTCTGTGGCCTGGGTGAATGTGCATTTGAGCACCTTCCACACTGAGAGTCACAAACCATGTGCCCTCTTCCAGAGAGGGAAATATTGATGCCAATGTGACTATGCAGAATTTTAATTTTTGGATGAATATATTTAGTCTGTGTACGTCGAGAATCTGTCTCCATCCCCCATTCTTTTTGGGAACTAGAAGTAAAGGGGGTAGAATGCTTTCCCTTGATGTTGAGGTGGAATTCTTTCTATGGCTCCCTGGTGGAGAAGGGAGTCCACTTCTCGATGCAACATTTCCGCAGGAGGCTGATCCCTGAAAAGGGCCCAGGAAGGGATTTTGTGGGTGAAAGTGGACAGAAACTTGGTCAGTTAGTGAATAGTGAATCATTTCCAGCACTTATTTGTCTACTATTAAAGCCCTCCAGCTGAGGGCAAATTGGGTAAGGCAGCCTCCAAAAAACTAAGTGGAAGGATGATGTGGCATCAGTAAAGGGATACAGGCCCTGAGGGTCCCATCATAAGTAATTCTTTGGCTGTGGGTTAGAGTGAGGTGTGGCAGTGGATGTCACGGGAGCTGAGTACTTGGGAGCGTTGGTGGTAAAATGATTGAGGAGGTGGTCTTACGCTATTCCCCAGTTGTGATGCTTCCTCGTAGGGGCAGGGGTACAGATACCCAGAGAACAAAGCATTGTCCTTGAGAGAATGGAGAGATTTATCCATCTTCGTTGAATGTGTTAGCTGTATCAAAGGCAGATTTTGAATGGTACTCTGCATCTCTCTAGGGAAACCTGAGGATTGCAACAAGGAATCTCTCCTCATGACAATGGCCATACATATCCCTCTGGTTAGTCTCTAAGGTGCCACTAGTACTCCTTTTCTTTTTGCAAATACAGACTAACACGGCTGCTACTCTGAAACCTCTGGATGCAGCATCTGCAGTATCTACTGCAGCCTGCAGAGTGGTTTTGGACAATCATTTGCCTTCATCAACTGAGCTCTATCTTCCTGAGGGATCTTGTCCTTAAAACCCAATAACTCTGCATAATTAGTGAAGTCATATGTAGGTAGGGGCCTGATACTTTGAAATTCTAAACTGGAAAGAGACAGGAGACCTTTCTCCCTAGGAGGCCAAGTTGTCTGGCACCTTGTACCAGGGTGTAGTTTTGAGGCCTTGCAGCCTGGATCTTTTGGTGGCTGCCTGTAGCATCAGAGAGACAGGCAGCAGATGAAAGAATAGAAACTCAGCCCCCTTAGATGAAACCAAGTAGTGCTTACCAGCCCTCGTCAGGGTGGGAGCACAAGAAGCAGGAGTGGTGCCACACTGTTGTAGCTGGATCCATGATGGTCACATTGATCAGGAGTGCCACTTGACTGGGACCCGAGGGTTGCAGGATGTCCAGCAATCTATATTGAGGGTCCTGAACCTATTCATGCTGTATCTGGAGCTAAAATGTCACCTTTTGTAGGAGTTCTTGATATTGCCTGTAGTCATCAGGCAGACATGTGAAGATGGGGTAACCAACTCATCTGGGGAAGAGGACAAAACTGCTGCCAGACCTTTGGATCTGGTTCAACTTTGTCTTCTGTATATGCTGATGGAGCCAGTTAGTGTTGGCCTGGAGATTGCAAATGAGGCTCATGTATTGATTCCAGGCCTAGAATAGGGATCCCAAGAGCCCCAGTAATGCTAGTGTGAAGGATCAGCCAGCTGAGGAGGACCCCAGGGCACAGGGTACCACCTGTCTCTTGGAAAGTCATATCTGGTCAGAGGACAGAACCCTGACCTCGTAGGGCTTCTATCTCGGCCTGTTCCTGTGTGGTAGGGTAGGGCCTCTTCTGGAGCCTCCAACGCATTGCGTGAAAGAGCTGGATCCTGAACCACCAGCGGAACTGATGGTACTGATGGTTGTGTGCCCAGGCTCGTGGGTGGGAGAGGAGAGAGGCTCTGGATGCTCTGTATAGCTTCCTCCTCTGGAGTAATGATGTCTCTGAATAAAGACGTACCCGAAAGGATGGGGGAGTGGGGATAAGGGAGAGCAAAAATGTCCTCTGGAGAGATGTGGGTCTCACACTGCCCTGGTATGCGGAGTGGCTCAGTTGGTGGGACTCTTGGACCTGGTGCTTCCCTGGTCACTGTAGAAGATGGATCCCTCTGGGGCAGTGACGATATCATCATCTGATCTGGATGCCGAAGGGAACAGCGGTGGATGTCTGTCTTTAGGTGTGCACGTCGGAACCAGCACCAGGACTGACGGAGCTGTTCTCCTTCACGCCACTTTCTCTTGCTGAGGTGGATTATGTGGGCCTAAATCTTTAGTACCTGTGAACGAGGACACTCTCAACTGAGAGTGCCAGACAGCCCAAATTCCCCTTTATGGGACAGGTTCAGGGCTTTAGTCCTTTACACACAAGCCAGAGGGGATGAGAGACAATGGCTGCTCCAGGAGCAGCATAGGCTGAGCCAAGCTTCCTTCGAAGAGCAGGCTCTAGCAGGAGGTGGTCCCAAAGGGGACGCTCCATCCCAGACATACTGCACAGGCTGAGACACACTAACCTCACTGACCCCGCACCAGCAGAGTGCAGCTGGTCCACAAGGGATTAAAAAGCAGAGTCATTAGAACCACTTGCTCTAGGCTGGCAGGATGTGACGGGGGCAGCAGGGAAGCCTAGAGGAAGGAAAATGTGGATAGCCAGATGAGCTCATCTTCCTCAGAATCCCCCTTGCAAGCCTAGTTCACGGCACTGAGCCTGGCCAGGGCACCTTCAGAAGAGTAGGCACCGGTCATGACAGCTTCATGGAGGCGGTTTCATAGCCCCAGCTAGGAATATGAACACCGCAGCGCCCTTTCTGACCAAGGAGGAGGTATTGGAAAGATTGGCTGCATGGGGCACGGTGAGGAGCCGGCTTCAGTCTTTCCGTGCAGCTACATGAGCTGTCTCCCCAATCCATGTGGACCTCCGATGAGCATGGCAAGTCCCTGCCACTTGGGGGTGAACCTGATTGGGCCCAGCGTTTGGGGCTTGGCCACACCACTGACCATGAAGTCACAATCTGGGCCCAGAGCACCAGTGGAGAAGAGGAAGAGCAGAGGGAGGAGGAAGGGCATGCCACCACCAAGGCCTGCAGCCTAGCTCCCTCCATGAAGCAGAGCTGCTGAGAGAAGGCAACTGGGCTGCAATGCAATCCCAGGTTTGCACAGGGGATGCCAGGACACTGAGTCTCAGGGGCTCCTGGAGCTTTGTGGGCCTGGTTAGCACAGCAGTCAGATCCCCACCCCAGGGCCCTGTCCAGGCTGCAGCCTCCACTATTGCAGACCAGGGAGTTGTGAATTTGCCAGTGTTGGAGCCTGCTGGCTCTGCCCTGTGTCTGACACCTCCCTGCATCATCAGTGGGTTCAGATTTCTATCCAAGCCACACCAGAACGGCCCCAGTGCTGAGCTTTGTGGAATGCTCATTTCCTACTCCTCTCTACCCTAAACTGCTCCCCTTCCTCATTGTGGCCTGTACGGTTCATTTCCTGTGAGCCCCGACGGATCTCAGACAAGGTTTTCCTGTGGCCTTTGCCACTTGAAGTCAGGGCTTGCTCTCCAGATTGCCGGTGCGCTGTGCGTACACACAAGCACGCTTCTCTGTGGTCCCACAGCCAGGAGGTGAACTGGTGAAACGAGCACGTTCAGGGACAGCAAGGTAAACCCCAGTCTAGGTGCGTCCCATTTAACTCTCAGAGTGGTGGGGCATATTTGTGTGGATAGTGGTCCACTCCCACCTCCCTCCTGCTGCCATCCACGTGCTGTGAACACTCTCCAGTTGCTGGACTCACCTTTGCCTCCTTCAAACAAACCTCCTTCCCTTCCAGCTGTGACTCCCTGCCCACACCAGCAACTGACCCCGATCCCCACTTCCTGTTCCTAAACTCCCAGCAACCCCTCTGCACACCTGTCCTGCCATCCCAGAGCTTCTAACCTCTCCCCACGAAGCCATCTTCCTACTGTGACTCTCAAGAATGGCATGGCCCTAGATTGCCAGCCTTCGGACCCGCTGAGTTTCCAGCTGGGAGAGCAGCAGCGTGCTGAGAGTAAAAGAGCTGACATCACCCAGGGCATGTTTCTCAATGACGGCAAGATACCAGCTAGCAAACCAGCCAGGCGTCCTCCGCACAAACATCTCCAGGCTTCACAAGAAAGACTTGGCGGTTTTATAGAGGGGCGAAGAAGAGGAGGAGCCTACGACGGCAGCCCCGGCAGAGCCTGTCATACCAATAACTGTACCAAAAGCGAGAGACAAACTGAGGCTGAAGAAAAATACTTTACAATGTGTAACAAATCCAGCCACACCCCTTGCAGGGCAGGAGGTCACTGGGCTCACTTGCCCTTCATTTCCCAGGGCAAAGCAGAAAGGGATGCTGTGGTGTGTGAGCAAACCTTCTCTCGTGGAGATCTGCTTTGCCATCGGCAGTGGAAAGGCGCTCCGACTCAGGGCTGTTCACACGACGGTATCTCGGAGAGCGCACTTGAGTGGTAGGGGAGTCTGGAGGCGCCCGTATAGGGGAGGTAGGGCAGACACCACTTCTTTGTTCCTCTTCCACCATGCACTGGGTCTGTATGGGGGAAAACACAGAGAACGTCAAGGAGCTGATGGCAGACACGGAGGAGAACCCAGCACGGCCCACCAGCTGGGACGCTCGCTCTGGGTTTGAATCTCTCCTGTCTCTTCCTTCCAGAACAATACAGTCCCAGCTGTCCTCTCATGGCTTGTGCTAGCGGTGCTCAGAGGAACGTAAGGGCTTGTCCACACATGGAAGCTATTCCACATGAAGGAAGGGTGTGAGTCTAAAGCAGAACAACTGTACTGGAATAACACCGTGTGTGGACCCTCTTACTTCAGAAGAAGAGGGTCTTTTCTGGCTGAGCTTCATGTACCTCCTCAACCTAATCTATGTGTGTGTTTGGGGTGAACTTGCTTTTAAAAAAACCTCTTGCAGCAGCTAAGGGAGTGGAGGTGGGCAAGGGAGAATCCTCTCTGTCACACAGCCTGCTCTGGACCCTGGTGTGGCTGCCCAGAGCCTGTTCCTGTGCCAGGGCTGCTTTCCTGGCAGGGGCTGGGTGTTATGTAGTCCCTGGTCTTCTGGCCATGCTCAGGGGCCCAGGCCTGACCTGGGCCCTGTTGTGCTGGCAGCAGGAGATGGTCCCTGCCCCACAGAATTTACCATCGACACAAGACGTGAGTGTAACAAGCAGGCGGGAAATGGGGAGGGAGGACAAGAGTTACTACTGTAACTGTGCAGCAGATAATGCCCCGCCTAGAGTGGATGCAGCTACCCTGGGTAATGACGTTTTATACATGGTATCGCTATTTCTGTAGAGGCATGGGAACAAGCCAGATCAGGATAAAGCACCTTTTTAGCGGCATAACTGCATCCACAGTTGAGGTGGGACTGGTATACCCCATCAGTGACAAATCAGCCCTCTAAGAGACATAGTGGTACAAACTCTGTGTGCAGAGCCAGGCCTGACCCTGGGCATATGCCATGGGATAGAAATCATTTAGACGGTGTGTGAAACGAATAGCCAAATAACGAACCCGCCATCCCTGCTGAGCATCTGCCCAGGATCAGCTGGCAATTTCCTGCAGCGATCACAGGAGAAGTAGGTCTGGAGGAGAGGGCAGTGATTTCGTGGGCTAGCCCATGAAGCAGCTCTCTCCACAAGGGGCGGCAAGGTAGAACGTGTGAAGGTGTTTGTGAGAGAAGCAGAGCCCTGGCATCCTTGGCTGGTGCAGGGAAGTGGACACAAGAGCAGATAATTAGAGAGGGGCAGAGTACTGAAGGGCTGTAGGCCAGTGAGCCTGATGCAGCAGAGAAAGGGAGGCCAATGGGAGGCTTTGGTCAGAGTAACGGCCAGCCAGGAAGCAGATCTCAGCCCAGGGTTTTGCACAGACTGGAAGGGAGCAGGTAGGCCAGAGGCAGGTGGTTGCAGTAGTGAAGCGGGGAGCTGCAGCGGGCCTGGCTGGGAGAGAGAGAAAGGGTTGGATCTGAGAGATGTGGAGAACAGTGGCACGGTCTGGCTGCTGCCTGAACTGGGCGGGGACAAGAGTGGGGAGTCCGAGCAGCCCCAGGGCTGCAGGACAGGGTGCCCAGGAGCACGGTGGTGGGGTCAGCAGTGATGCAGGCCAGCGACGGAGAAAGGAGAGCTTTCAGCGGTCAGTCTGGTGCTGAAGCAGCACAGGAGGCTGGGACTGAGGCTGGAAGCAGGTACACAGAGCGGGGAGCTTCCTTATATGGAGCGACAGCAGCTCCTCCGGCCCAGGGGCTGACCGGGACTCATCTGCCAAGCGGGATTCGCTGCAGCTCTGCTGCGGTGTCCTTTTATCTGAAAACATGCAGCATATAGCTACAGCCTCTGGAATGGGATGGATCACTTGGTGATTCCCTGTTCTCTTCATTCCCTCTGGGGCACCTGGCCTTGGCCACTGTCGGAAGACAGGAGACTGGGCTCGATGGGCTACCGGACTTTGGCCTGACCCAGTGTGGCCGCTCTTAAGTTCTCGGACAGAAAAAAAAGGAGAGGCTGGAGTTTCCTGGGGCAGGATGCTAAGCCCCCAGCCCGGCTTGGTGCCAAGCAACCACAATTTTTGTTGAAGTCCCTGGGAGCGCCAGATGCTCAGCACCTGCAGGAGGCCCTCAGCTGCTTCTCCTGGAAACTGGCAAGAAGCAACAGCTCTCTCAGACAGAGGGAGGGTCACCCTGGTCAGACTTTGGCTCCTGAAGAGACCTCTCTTATCTGTGGGTGACCTTATGGCATAGCTCACCAGTGCCCTGGCATTCAGCACTGTCAAGATGGACCAATACTGTGCAGAAAGGAGGCCTGAATGCCCTCTCTGACATGAAGGCTCCTGGTGTAACTCACATCTATCTCTGAAGGAAACCAGACTGGCATGACGGGGAAGCCGAGTTTCCCAGGCCCAGTACCTTGTATGTACCATCCAGGGGGAATGCAGAGAATGGCGAGTAAAAGAAACCATTGGGAAGGAATGCCTATGGCTGCCAACTGGAGCAGACCAGAGAGGGAAATGAGACTGGCAGCACTTGCTCCAACACTAACAATATGACATAACTCCTGCATGAGCCAAAATGAGCACCCGCAAGGAAAACCACAAGTGGATTTTCTGTGCCAGGGTCTCTAAGGGGTATCTCAGGCCTGAAGGAAAAGCTGCAGTATATTTGGTGGCTCTCAAGAACAGAAAAAGCTGAGGTGACTTTTAGAACCAGGAGTTACCGATTTTTGTGGAATATGGTTTCCACAATATGGAAGTAAGAAGGTAAGACAAGATGGAAACAAAGCTTCCCCATTCTAGTGTATGATCCTGTCTCTGCTACACACCAGTCTCTAAAGGAAACATGCCAGCCCACAATACTTGCATCCAAGAGTTTAAAATGAGTTGGCTGTGACGCTCTCCAGACTAGTGATGATAATTTTTAATAAATCCTGGAATACTAAGTAGCTCCAGAGGCCTGGAAGAATGCTAATGCCATGCCAATATATAAAAGGCATGCACGGAATGACCCGGGTAGCGACAGGGTGGTTAGCCTGCCACAGATTCCAGTCAGAGCCATGAAAAGGTTGATATAAGTCTCAATCCACAAAGACCTAAAGGATGGGAATATAGTCCATGTCAATCAACAGGCCTTCATGGAAAATAGGACTTGTCAAATGAACTTGATATCATTCTTTGACAAGATCACAAGTCCAGTTGATAAAGATAACCATTTTGATGTTATACACTTGGACTTAGTACCACATGACGCTCCGATTAAAAAATTAGCACTAAAAATCAGTGTGGCACATGTGAAATGGGTTTCAAACTGGCTGACAGGTCTCAAACCTAACTCTTAATGTGGAATCATCATCCAATGAGAGTGTTTCTAGTGGGGTCCTGCAGTTCTTGGTCCTTGATCCAAAAATATTTGGCATTTTTATTAATGATCTGGAAGAAAATATAAAAACCTTGGTGATGAACAGATGACGAAAGATTGGTGGGTTGGTAAATCATGATGGGAACAGGTCACTGACACAAAGTGATCTGGACCACTTGATGAGATGGGGTGGGATCTGAGTTACTACAGAGAATTCTTTCCTGGGTATCTGGCTGGTGAATCTTGCCCATATGCTCAAGGTTTAGCTGATCGCCATATTTGGGATTGGGAAGGAATTTTCCTCCAGGGCAGATGGGAAAAGGCCATGGAGGTTTTTCACCTTCCTCTGTGCATGGGGCACGGATCACTTGCTGGAGGATTCTCTGCTCCTTGAAGTCTTTAAACCATGATTTGAGGACTTCAATAGCTCAGACATAGGTGAGAGGTTTATCGCAGGAGTGGGTGGGTGAGATTCTGTGACCTGCATGGTGCAGGAGGTTGGACTAGATGATCATAATGGTCCCTTCTGACCTTAATATCTATGAATCTATGAGATGGCAGCTATCAAGTAATAAGTGTTTTTAAACAACCAAATTTGAGGTCATTCATCTAGAAGCAGTGAATGCAGGTCACATGTACTGGATAGGGGCTCTGTCTGGGGAAGCAGTGATTAAAGGTCTTTGGGATCCTGGGGAAAACCAAGTGGACATGACTTCCCAGTGCAATGCTGTGGCATAAGGCTAACATGAAGAAATATTGGGTGCAAGTAGGGAGGCGATATTACCTCTGTATAAGTAGTCACTGGTGAGACCATTGCCAGAAACGGTGCCCATTTCCGGTTTCTACATATCAAAAGGGATGCTGAAAAATTCGAAGTGCAATTCAGAGAGAAGCTACAAGGAAGATTTGAGGTGTGGAAAACCTGCCTAGCAGTAAGAAAAGGAGTACTTGTGGCACCTTAGAGACTAACCAATTTATTTGAGCATGAGCTTTCGTGAGCTGTAGCTCACGAAAGCTCATGCTCAAATAAATTGGTTAGTCTCTAAGGTGCCACAAGTACTCCTTTTCTTTTTGCGAATACAGACTAACACGGCTGTTCCTCTGAAACCTGCCTAGCAGTGAGAAACTTATGGAGCCCAAGCCTTGTACCTTATCCAAGAGAAGATAAAGAGGTGATTTGATCTTGGTTTATAAGTACCTACATATGAAGAAGATGTCTCATACTAAAGCAGCTTCCCAAGGGATGGGGCAAATTTTCCAAAGCGTAGAGTCCTTATATTGAGCTGGGATGGCTCAAAGACACACATTAGCTCAACCACAAGTTTTTGAGCTGGACAGCATCACTCCTGTAGCAAGGAGAAAGAATTCCCTCAGCGCAGCAGACACTGGGTGAGGTTCTCTGGCCTGTGTTATACAGGAGGTCAGACTAGATGGTCACAATGGTCCCTTCTGGTTTTAAATCTACGGCCTGAGTTGGGCACGCACACCTCACTGCCAGACAAGAGGAAGGTTCCTTACTTTGCTGATGCTGATCCTGAGTTTGTTGCGGTTCACGTCTGTCTCTTCCCAAACCTCGGTCTCGTTGAAGGCAATGTTAGGAGGCTGGCCCAGCCCTTCCACTGGCCGGCCTGGCAGGATCGGAGGAGCATTCTCTTGGTCGCTCAAGTGTTCACCCTGCAGGACATCTTCAGTGTTCTCACGCAGCAAATCCCCAGGAACTGGAGTGACGTTAACCACCCTAAGGGGGACATCAAGACAGGACAACAATACTGATCACATAGAGAACCAGGACCCTTATATATCCTGCACCCTGGACCTGCCTCAGCACCCCCACCATATGTAGGAGCTGCTAGGCTAACTGCATCAGGGGTCGCAACCTTTCCCAGGCCAGCAGCCCATGCCCCAACAAGTTCACAAACCTCTTCCCCTCTAGCCACAAACAAAGGAAGGGCGTCTCACAGACCTCCAGGCTGACAACCCCTGCTTCAGAGAAGGTGCTGGACAATTAGGAACAGCCGGCTGTAGGGGAAGAGTCCACCTAGCCCTAAGCCGACAGGGCTCCATAAACTTTACCCATGTTGTCCTACCCAGTGGGAAAGAGCATGTGCTCATCATCCATTTATGCCAGGACTCTCACAAGCACCTAGGCGACTTCAGAGAAAATTCCAGTTGCCTCCCCTTGGATTGTGCTGCTAAACCACTCAGAAGATTCTAAACATCCCACCCGCATGTGTCTATTCCACGCAAGTGTAAGACAGGACCGACTCAGGGTCCCCTACTCCAGTCTCCTATCTTGGACGTGGGTCGCTACCGATGATCCAGCAGAAGGCGAAGGAATCCTGAGGAGGCAGATGTGGGTTAATCTACCCCCACATTAGGTTTTATCCTGATCTCTAACAGGTAGAGATTGGTTTAAACCCTGGAATACAAGATTTAATATCCCTGCCAGAACGTGTTAGCACTCGCTGTTAGAACGCTAGATACTCTTGCCACCCAGATGATGAAAGAGATTGGATTCTCTTTCATCATCTGACAATCTTCCAGCCTCTGCGACTTCCTGTGAGGAGGAGTTCGAGGTTAATCACACACCCTGTGAAAAACCATTTCCTTTTATCCATCATGAATTTGCCACCTTTCAATTTCACTGACTGTCCCCTATCCTAACGCTGTGAGGCAGGGAGAAGAGAACGTCACACTCTCCCTTTTCTGAGCCCTTCGTTGCTCTGTCGACTGTTGTCACAGCCCCTCTGATTCACCACCTCGCTAAAACAGGCAATCCCAATCTTTTCAATCTCCTGTCAGAGGAGTTTTTCCCAGGCCATTTTTAAATATCTAAATAGCTCTTTGTCCCAGGGTCACGGACCCCACCGGCGAGCACCAGGGACCGTGTAACGCGCACTGGCGCGTGGACCCCGCCGGCGAGCACCAGGGACCGTGCACCACGTCATGTGCAGCACCCTCCTGATGTAAAAGCGTAAGCAGGGGAACGTTCCCAGTAGAACATACAAGGTGACAACAAGAAGACAAATGCTCAGGATCCAGGTGCGATCCGGTGACTTAGGCACACCGTATTACACACACTTCATCTCTACAGCGAAATGAACAACACTTCTGTACCTAATCCTATTGTCCAGGGCAATCACGGCCAGTGTTCCTTCCAGTGACTCTCCCTTGGCCCAGCACCTGCTGACAGCGTGACAGGTGTGACCATGTGGATAAATTGGAGAGAGTCCAGCGAAGGGCAACAAAAATGATTAGGGGTCTGGAACACATGACTTATGAGGAGAGGCTGAGGGAGCTGGGATTGTTTAGCCTGCAGAAGAGAAGAATGAGGGGGGATTTGATAGCTGCTTTCAACTACCTGAAAGGGGGTTCCAAAGAGGATGGCTCTAGACTGTTCTCAATTGTAGCAGATGACAGAACGAGGAGTAATGGTCTCAAGTTGCAGTGGGGGAGGTTTAGATTGGATATTAGGAAAAACTTTTTCACTAAGAGGGTGGTGAAACACTGGAATGCGTTACCTAAGGAGGTGGTAGAATCTCCTTCCTTAGAGGTTTTTAAGGTCAGGCTTGACAAAGCCCTGGCTGGGATGATTTAACTGGGAATTGGTCCTGCTTCAAGCAGGGGGTTGGACTAGATGACCTTCTGGGGTCCCTTCCAACCCTGATATTCTATGATTCTATGATAACACTCACCCAAACATGGCTGCTGTCTGCCTGGTGTTCTGCTGTGGTGGTGTGGAGGTGCTTGTAGACAATAAAATGTCCGTTCCAGCTTTTTCCCAGTCGAAGGCCTCATTCTCAGTAATGCCTCGTTCCTTCATGCTGTTCTCAAACACCGACATGATCAGCTAGAAGAATAAACGTAGCAACAAGGAGGGAGGTAGAGGATCTGTAACAGCTGACAGCTGCCTTAAAGAATGCCTGAAGCACGGAGCTTGTCCAAACTCACAATTTCCATTTCATGGGGATTTCTGACATTTTGAAATGTGTTTTGGAATTGTCTTTTGGAAACTACTTTTTTTATTTCTCTCGCCCACCTTCCCTCCCCCACACACAGAGGAAATGATTTTATTAAAAATTCTGCATTTGTCAAACATTTTCTGCCAGAAAACTGTTGATGAAAATCTTCTGACCAGCTCCAGTGGATACCTCTTTCTCCCGTATCACAGGGCTTCGCATAGCTGCACCGTAGCTAAGGTTCTATCAGCCTATCTCGTGAAAGCTGTACTTTCAGCCTGTTCTAAAAGCCACGTCCCCTCTCAGATCAGCCTGGAAATGGGAATGCCCAGTTAGGGCCCCAGGTGGAGTTTATGGGGCACATATGGGGTCATTTGGTAAAGTATCTCATGAGACACAGCTCTGACAAACATGACCTTTTTACAAATTGTAACTTTTTATAATGCTTTTTTGAGTGGAGATAGGGGAAAATAATGGGTAAGACCCACATAAAACTAATATCGTGGGCATGCCCCAGCTGAGATCTAGTGCCTAGCAGCAAGAACCAGCTCCAGAACTTGATCATTCCAAAGTTCCTGGACTTTGTAGGTGATTCTCTGGAGTGGTATGGCGGGCTGCGGAGGAGCAATGCATGGAACACCAGCACGGAGTACAGACTCTTGAGAGAGAGCCCTGCCATACAACCTATCCAGTCACCTAGGGGAAAGTGACCTGGCCTAGGAGCTAGACAGATATGAGTGCAAGTCTTCTCTTCCGCTGACTGGTGTTAGTACTGCTGTACGCTTAATATTAACCAAGACCTTCAGCCCTACCCTCCAAGGGGGAAAATCCCTCATTTTCAGCTCATCGAAAAGAAAACGTGCTTGCTGGCAGAGCTGGGCCGAGACCCCAGGTCTCCCATACAGCAGCCCAAGGCGCAGTCACTCAGCTGCCCTGCCTATGGAAGTAAGGGGCCTGATGCACGTCGCTGACTCTGCTGCCCACAGCAGGTGAGACACAATGCTGAATTGCCCGAGCAAGAAGTCACCCATGATGGCAGCTCAGTGCAGGGAGTGAGACAGTAGCTGCAGGAGGGGGAAGGATGGTCTCTGTAAGGCAATGGATGGAGGCCTGGACACCTGGGGTTTGGTCTGGGCTCTGCCGAAGCCTGCTCACCTGGTGCTGGGTGAGTCAATTACACTACAGGGGCTGGGGGCGCTCAGCAGTCTGTGGTCAGTGTGGGGAGCCCACCCGCTGCCAGAGCACCAGGATGGACTGCGATTAACACTCTGGATGAGGACTTGGTTCAATCCCTGGGTCTGCCAGCACCAACCACACCCGCTTAACTCTGCCCCTGTGGGGATGGAAATAGCAACTGGGGACATCACAGTACCCCTAAACAGACCTCCCACCCTCTCTGTGCCCAGCACAGCTCAGCTCTGCACTCCGTCCACACAGCCCACCGACCCCTTGCTGTGCTCTATGCAGGGCTTGTTGTTGCCCTGGGTGTTCTGTGAGAAGCAGCGAGGCTGAGGGAGGGCTAAGGTCCTGCCAGTCCCCCAGGGGACACCTGAGGGTAGGGACCAGAGAGGCAGGGTCAAGTTGGTGAGGTTTTGCACCGTTGGAGTTCAGGGATTTAGCATCCCCACCTCTGGAGGGGAGGGCAGAGCTGAATACATATTGCTTATTGCATGAGAATTCACCTTAACCAGAGAGGAGCTCCTACTGGGACCTTCTTGACACAAGCCAGTAGGTCCAAGAGGACATGGGGGTGAAGTGCCACGTTAGCAATATTTCTCTGCAGCTTCTGCCACAGAACGGAGCACTCTTCGTGACTGAAAGCAGCGTGCAAGCAGGCAGCACAGACGGGAGTCTGGTAGCTCACTCAGCACGTCGGTGGTAGGTGCTTTGTAAATATCGACAGAACAAAGTTCTGATGAAGACGGAACATGGAAGGGGCTGTACGTAGGAAACATTAAAAACGGCCAGACTGAGGAGCTGGACAAGTGCCAGGTCACGGAGAGCGGCGTTAGAAAGGATCTCTGCAGTCCACCAGTCCATGCCCTTGCATCGATCACTTAGGAAACCTTCACATCCTGGGGCATCTCCACCAGTTCTGCGTAGCTTTGCTACGGAGACTCTAACCACCTCTCTCACAGCTGGACTCCTGAGCTGTGCCATAATGCTGTCATCAGTATGTGTTATTGATGCAGCATGTGACTTTTCTATGGCTCCTGTTCCACCATGCTAGCAGGCTACAGCTTCTCCTCACTTTCTTTCCTCTCTTTTTTCTGATAGAAGCATAGCTGCGCTGAACTCATATGAGTTTAGGACTAGCTGTGCCACGAAACCACTCTTGGTTTTCAAGCAGCTATAATCACAAGCTCTGTGGAAATCTGCAAACCATTTCAGGTTACCAGGACTTCTCATTGCTAAATTACTTCTGACGGACAAGTCTCTTAACAGAGGGTGCCTCCTGCACTCTGCCACTATCTGGGAAACTTCAACAAGGCCCTGTCCACATGGGCAAGTTGCACCAATTTAACCTGAATTTAAACCAATTTAGTTAAATTGGTGCAATCCCCTGTGTGGCTGCACTCATTTCCATAACGAGTGGCCTTTTCTGGTTTAGGTTAAGCTGGTTGGGAACAGGATTAAGCTAAACCGAGGGGTTTGCTTTGGTTTAATTAAATAAGCTTCAAAAATGATTTAAGTTAAACTGGTACAACTTTCCAATGTAGCCAAGGCCTAAATGACAGATTAGTTTTCCCTTACTTTCTAAGAATGGTGCCAAGAACAGGAAATAAATGTTACAGAGAGAGCATCAGACATTGCTTCCCAAAGCTGTCCCTGTCCCCACCGGCTGCCTAAAACGTCTTAAAAGCTACGAAAAGAAAGGGTGCATGTTTTAAATTAAACCATGCAACTGGTTTGCTGCTGCATCCCTAGAACCTGGAGTTCAGCTCTCCTGCAGACCAGATGTGTGCATAACTGCCTGGCAGGATTGTGCAGTGGGGCTCATTCTGCAGGCCGGGCCCATGGGACTCGGAAGGAAGACACGCATATGCAGAGTAGCCAGCTACTGGCAGAAGACATGTGAACATGCTTAGCTCAGACACAGCTGCTTGAGGAACATAACCTGGATTTTCCAAGAGGGTAATTTCCAGGGTGATTATGCACCCTATGGGCCCGACTCTAACTATGCCATGTAGAAGGGATGTTTTAATTGCCTTTAAAAGACTGCTGAGAAAGTTCAAACAACTCTCACGCCACCAAGGTTCATAGCGATGGGTCTGTCTGCATCAGAGGTCGGGGCTTTTTGTTTGATGGGGTGGGGTGAGGGGGAGAGAGGAAAGAACTTGGAACTGACAAACCACCCTATGGCCCGGCCTCTCTCTGGCTTCGCAGGAATGGCCTCTCCACCTGTGAAATCAAAGCATCCCTCTTCAATGACATGCACCAGGCCCTCCACAAGGCCAGTCTCTTACCTGATAATCGGGCTTGGTGAAGTAGTCCAGGTTCGCAATGTGATCCAGGAAGAGGTGGAATTCAGATGGCATGTGTTTTAGCAGCATTCGATGTTCATACTTCTCTTTGATCATGCCAACTTGCTCCTGTAGAAAGGGAAATACACCAGATCCCACCATCACTCTCCTGGCTGCACCCTCCTAACCCCTCAGCAGTAGCCCATCTGCAGGGGGCCCTCAGGGTCTGGCTTACACATACTCCCTAGCAAAGTGAGGCTGATCTGCTGATGCAGGGAAGCTTGGACACCTCTTGGGAGCTGCCCCTTCAGTGGAGACTCCTGGAAGTAGGGGCGGCTGCTCTCTGGCTCTTCCCTCACCCAGGGGGATCTTTCAGGAACACCTGGATGGTCTGTTTTACTCCCGTGGACTCAATCTGACTTGCTGACCAACGCTCCCATTTAGAGCTTCCTGGGAAGCTGGCTGGCAGGAAGGAACCAGTCAGTTCATCAGCACAGGACAGACACAATGGGCCAGCAGACAGGGCTGAGGTGGTCGGTGAAGGCAGACAAGCTGAGACAGCACCATTCATTTCCAGTGCGGAAGCAATCCAGGTGACACACACTGCATTTTAGGCCACGTTACAGACTGAGAAAATCATCTCTGACAGGAGATCAGAGGGGGGGAAGGAAGTATTTTTGTGTGCGCTAAAGTACAGCCGAACTGGCGATGCTGATGTTACAAGGCAGCTTTCATCCCACGCACGTAGCTAGGGAAGCGGCAAGAGGCGCTGTGGGAATACACTGGTAGATTTACTAGTTAGCAGCCTAGGTTTGAACAGGATTTAAGAGTATTCCAAACATTGCTGCAGTGAGGTGGAGTGTGCATTCAATGTAAATGTTCGTTTACTCAGCAGCTGTGGGGGGTGCGCTCTCTTGGAGACAGGCGGAAAGTTCTTCCTGACACCTAGACCCAAGGTTTCAGTGCAACAGCCCAGGGGCTTGACTCTGCCTACTGCTTTCTGAAAAGCCCTGGAAAACAGCCTCTGATCTGTGCTGAGGTGCAGGAAAGGGGAGTGGAACAGCTGCTGGACAGAGTTTACCCCAGTCACCCACTACACCTTAGTCACCATGTTTCCTACCTTATCTTTGATCTTGCGCCATGGCAGCTGACCAACTGCAAACTCCACTAACATGTAAAAGAGGGACCACAGGTCATCATGTCGACCCATCTCCTGGAGAAAAGGAAGACAAAGTAAAGCAAATACGAGGCTCCAAGCCCTAACAGCCAAACAGCATCTTTTCTGCTGTGTGGGAGACACCACGGCGTGTCAAGCGGAGTGAACACCACCCTGGGAACGTGTCACTTCCATTCTCAGGACACTTCCAGAAACTAGGGTAACTATTATTCAGGTTGTACAGTCAAGCGCCCAGACCTCAGGGAATAAGGTTGTCCATGCAAGCTTAACTTGTGTACCCCTTATGCGTATGCATGTAATTACACAATCATAGACTATTTTTTCCACAGGACCCTGCATCAGGCAGTGCACAGAATGGATGATGCTCACTGCATGGGGAGCTGTTCAATACTTCTTTTTCCCCCATTCTTCAGTGTGTGGATCCCACCCTTGTTCACCCCACACTATTCAAACCTTGCTCTGAATGCAGAATTAATTCTCTCAGGGGCTTGTCTGCGACACTCATTACTACAGTAACTAAGCGCTTCCCAAATGGTTAATGAATTTATCCTCACATCTCCCTGAAGGTGAGGCAGGGTTATACTCATTTTACAGAGGGGGAACTGAGGCATGGGGTTTAAAGCCAAAATTGTCAAATGTGCCCATTAATTTTGAGTGCCCAGTATGAGATGCCTAGGGCTGATTGGTCTGAGTATTTTGCATTGCACAGTACTTTATATATTCAAGCACTGCTCCCAATGAGTTCAGCTGAGAGTGCTCAGCGCTCGTGTAAATCTGACCCTAGGCGTGTACCCAGAAAACAGGGAGAAAGTCCAGCGTGGCATTCAACTGCTCCACTTACCACACACTTTCAAACTTCTGCAACACATGGGACAGTGGTCTGACAGACACAGCCTAATCCACCCCCAGAGCACCAGCCATCCTGGGACCAAGTCATCCTGAACGAGCCCAGATTTAGACAGATTGGCACAGGGATGGCAAAGGGCACATTTCTTACACCCAGGAGGCCCGCTCTGCCAAATTTCAAGTCCCTGCTCCAAAGCTCAAACTGAGGCAGCCATGGAAAATTTCAGCCCAAACAGTTAGTCTGGCAAAGGCACAAATAACTGGAACCAGGATCTTGTAATAGAATGTGTCAGGCAAACTTAGCTACAGCCAGCACAGCCAGTGCCAGCTGTAATAAGCATTGAGAGGAGAATTCCCTAGAGGATAACTATAATCCAGGGGGATCAATATACCGTGTTTGATGGGAACTCAAATGTTAACCACTAAGGAGATTTCACTGTCTAAAGAAGTCCCTACCCACTGCTTTCAGCACCGGGGGCTGAAAATGGCCACCATTAGAAGCACTTCTCATCATTATGGCTGCAAGTCTACAGTGGCCGGTGCGGCTGACCCAAGGGCCGCCCCAGAAGCTGGCATTGGCTGTTGCTGGGGTGGCCCCAGAGCCAGCCACTGGGGTGGGCCCAGAGCCAGCTGCACCGGCAATTGCTTGGGTGGCACCAGGCAGCTGGCCCTGGGACCGCCCAAGCAGTGGCCAATGTGGCTGGCCCTGGGGGCCGCCAGAGCAGCAGCGATTCCAGGGGCAGCCCCGGAGCAGCAGTCCCGGGGGCCATTCTGGAGGCCATCGGAGCAGTGGCTCAGGGGACCTTGGAGCAGCTGGTGACCGGGGGTAGTCAGCCCCCACCGCTAGAGCAGGGATCACCGTTTGGCTCCCGGAGGGCCCCCGGAGCAGCTAAGATTCAGTCATGGGTATTTATAGTAAAAGTCATGAACAGGTCACGGGCCGTGAATTTTTGTTTATTGCCCGTGACCTGTCCATGACTTTTACTAAAAATACCCATGACTGAATCTTAGCCTTACTCATCACGCACAATATAAACTAGCAGTGGATCTAGAAATAAAGGTCTGGAGGGAAGCGTGCTCTAGTGCAGGAGTTCCCAAACTGGGGCCTCTCGACCATCAGCCGTCTGCAGGCCATTTGCTGGGGATCTGCAAAACACGATGCACCTCCCGGCCTAGAAGCCTGATTATTAATTCCATTTCTGACACTGACTCTTTATGTGACCTTGAGCTAGCCACTTAGCCTCTCGGGTGTCAGCATCCTCATTTGTAAGAGAGGATAACACTGATCTGCCTATTTTTAGGGCGACCAGTAGGGGCTAATTAGCTGTCTGGGAAGCCCAGTGAAGATTAAAAGTGACTATCAATGTTTTACCACTTACAGTAACTACACATATGCATTTCCAAATCACCTCCTAAAAGCCACATCACTTGGGATGCAAAAAGGCTGGAGGGAAGGATGAGATTGGGCAGAGGGGAGTGAAGGGTCAGAGCTCATAAAACCTTTTCTTCTGGCAGGAACTTTAGTTCCATAATCTAAGCATCAGAAGAACTTTACCATACAGACAGGAAATACTGCTTACATATTTACAAATATTAGATGAGAGGGGGAAGGCCAGACATCTGGGGAGACTGGGGCAAAACAGGCCAAATATTTTGCAGAAGTAACATCCCTCTTCGGAGGAAAAAAATCTAGGATTTGTTCTGAGTTACCCATGTCACCAGGGCTAGGCTGCCATGAGCCACAGCCTTCCCACGGCCAGCATGCTGCTAGGGCCTTGGGGTGGTGGGCCCACGGCAAGGAGCCACACAGGGACATGGCTTTCTGTTTCTCTTGTATTTTATTTTTTCTTAATAGCAGCAGCAAATATGGTAACTGCCAAATATTAGACAGGCGATGAGAGAAAAGCCAATGACTAGCTCATATTTTTACACATACAATCAATAGCCTTCCACCTCCACTGGAGTTATTTGACACATCAGCTTGCTGTAGGCAACAAGCAACTCACATCAGCGGACCCCTCCCGCAGCTACAGAGCTACTCTGTGTCTACATGGCAATAAAAAGCCCACAGCATCGAGTCTCAGAGCCCAGGCCAGTTGACTCAGGTTCGTGATGCAGGGCTAAAAATTGCTGTGTAGACAGTCGGGCTCGAGCTGGAGTCCGAGCTCTGCCATACACCCCCCTCGTGGGGTTTCAAAGGCTGTACTCCAGCCTGAGCCAAATGTCTGCACTGCAATTTTGAGCCCCACAACCAGAGTCAGCTGCCTTGAGCCAGCCATGACCATGCCACTGATCTTTTATTGTAGTGTAGACATACCCTTCGTGGCTGCAGGGGTGGAAAAAACCCTTCTCTTTTAACCCCTAAGAAATGGAGATACTCACTCGGTTTTTGTGTGCATTCACGGAAGCATAGCGGACTGTTCCCCGAAACCCAGCAACATTGCGAGGCTGATGGGAGACAATAAATAATCTCAGAAACAAAGCAGGGCGTTGGAGAAGCCAGAGTGCAGCAAATTCCTAAAGACTTCCCAGCTCTACCCTGGGGCCATACAAACCTGAAAGCTGCAGATCTCTTCTTAATGCCCTTCCCTGTGATCAAGTGGCCATATAAACAGATAACATGTGCCTTAGTCCTACATTTCCCTGAAAAACTCCTTCTGCGCTAAGGGGACAGTGATCAGTAAAGTCGCTCCGGGCAGCAAAGCTGTCAGCATCACCCAGGTTTGTACCTTCATAACCAAATTTTAGTTTGAGCAGAAAGCAAGTGCAGGAGCCCAAAAGCAATCCTTCCTTTGAGTACAAACTGATAATGGGGCAGTGTGGGTAAGCTAAATCCAAGGCAGCGCCTGAGGGCCAGCCCAGTGGTTTGCTATTCTGATACTGCCGCTGGATAGATGCAGGTGCTGATCCGGCATGTTACCTCCCTGCAGGATCCCCTCCAATCCCCCCTCCCATGCACAACCCTCCTGCAAACCCCTCTTAGACCCCACCCAATGCTACCTGCCAGCTGCCTGATTTCTCCATCTCCTGAAGACAAGCAGGCCCCACTAGAACACGTGATGGGGTCACGCACGAGAGCATCCTGCTCTGGCCCCCACACGATGGACTGCACTAGACCCACGAGGTCACACTCATCTCTAATATCTCAGTCCTGCCCTGCTTCCAGTGCTCAAACTGCTCATTTCAGCCCTCCAGGGATTTGTATAGTTCCCTTCTCCATGGTGTCTGAGAACTTCCCAGTTCCCAAGGCAGGTGCTGTCAAAACCTCTCCCCTACCTCTGAACAGGCACCAACATGGAAGCTACATGCTAAGAGTTAACAAGTGGAAAACCTTCTAGTGTTCACCTATTTTCCAAGGCTCCTCTGAGTCCCCCTTGGAGCCTTTGTTCTCCCTTTCTTTACTCTCACCCCTCAAGTACCCTTCCCCACCCCAGAAGATGGATACAGTGGTCTTGAGACCAAGTCAGCACTGCTCCTTGCATCCATCACAGGAGGTTATTCCCACTGCTGACGGGGCTGAGAGTGCTGCTTCCAGAGATCTCTTATGTCTGCACAATTTCACCTGTGGAAGACGTGATCATTCTGAACTAATTCTATGTAGAATAATGAAACATGGCAAGTGATTATGGGGAGCTTCACAGATGTAAAAAAGATAATGGGTACGGGTGGGATTTTCAAGAGGCCGAGTTAGACCGGGGGATGTTGGCAATGGCCCAAATGGGCTCAGAGTTCAGCCCAAGGCAAGCACTTTTGAAAATCCCTCCCTAAAAACTCCAGACAGGCCCAGGTGCTTAGAGGTCGGAGCACTTAGCAGCGCAGTGCAAGGAGATGCCAGTTCAATTCTCTCATCACTTGGGAGGCAGCAGTCGGCCCTGAGGACTCAGTTGCATACCTCGATACGAACTTCCCTTCAGTGCTGACTGGTCTGAAGAGGATTCTATTCAGTCCTCCTGGCCAGCCTGGAGAGGGGCTAGAATTGCAGAGCTGTGAGAGTTGGGCCTGAAGCAGGGGAAGAACGTGTGAGTCCTCAAGGCTCAGGGATGGACTGGCTGACGGGCAGTTCAGTGGAGTTCATACATGAAAGCTTGCATATTTATATCTGCCTCTGGAAATTTCCACTACATGCATCCGACAAAGTGGGTATTCACCCACGAAAGCTTATGCTCTAATACGTCTGTTAGTCTATAAGGTGCCACAGGACTCTTTGCTCCTATGTTTAAAGTTACGCATATGTATAAGTACTTGCAGGATCAGGACCTAAGATTCTATTTTTATATTAAAATGTTCTCTTAATGCCTATTTGTATTTTTCTCACCACAAATTTACTTCAGTGTTAACACTGAATATCTGCCTAGCTTTTCAATACATAATCAAAGTTCAAAACGGTGAATTTTTTTATACATCTATTCTCGCAGATTCTGTGTTATTGATTTATCCAGACTGAACGTATAATGCGGCATTTGAAACCATAACTAAAATCCATGATCAAAAGTCACAAGTCTATTATGCACCTGAGTCCCATTATTCCAATTCACTGAGGGTGATTTCAAGGCTTTCAGAATTAAAATGCTTGAGAAGGAAAACCAACATGGATGCATCACCTGTTCCCTGAGGTTTGTAATCCTGGAGCACACCAGCCCGAGTGATGAAAATACTCATTCCGCACCAACAAAAGAAGCTGTAGCAATTAACAGCTGTGATGCTGCTTTCGTGATCCAGCCTTGTTCCTCCCAGAGAATTTACTTGAGACCTCCACCAGTGAGCGGCTGTTACATTTTTCAGAACTTCATTGGAGAACATGACTTTCTGAAATGTAGATTTGGCCTGCGGTTGAATTACTGTAGCTGGAACTCAACTACCAGCATAAGCCTCTTCTACGTATTCAAGAGCAAGTGTTGATTCCTAAATTGTGAGTGGAAGCTGGCACACACGGGAATATTTCATAAGCTGGAAAGTGATATGGTGTTAAACCTGTGCTTTCATGCTTTACAAGTCATAATGCTTTCCGAATATGCATTCTGCAGTTATCTCATTGCAGTTCAGCACAAGATATTTTTCTGTCTTCTTTCACACTTCATCAGCTATAGCTGAATTTGTTGAATCTGTTCAGAATCAAGTCCCAACAATGCTGCCTTCAATATCTGGAGCAATTTCTCAGCAAACCTCTTCAGGCCAATATTTGTTACTTTCTGGGAAACAGAGTCTATATCATGTCTCTGCTCTTCACAGATTTTCATTAATTTGGGCCATTCTGAAACAAGCTTCTAGGCAATCTGCAAATGCAGATTCCACTTTTCTTCTCGAGGCATCACAAATACATGGCGATCTCCATGCTTGTCTGTGCAAAGTGGTTATTGGGCAAGAACTCATCACACAGCCCCTGCTCCTGCAACTGAATCCACATGGCTAACCCCCTGAGCCCTACAGAAGTCAATGGAGCTCCACACTGGTACAGGGATCCAGACTCACGCATCACATCGCAGGATCAGACTGGCCTTCAATACCATAGTCCTTGCCAGTCTTTCCTTCCAAGTCTTCTAGCAGGAATTGTACAGTATGTGCAGAACAGCCAGACTTTACTCACCAAGGTCATCTTTTTCTTGCAAGGCTCCCCTTCTCCTCTTAGCCTCATTGGCTGCATTGTCTATCACAAAATCAGTGACCTGGCACTTAGTGTTCTCTCACATATTTTGATTGTATCACTAGCAATTGTGGTCAGATGTCTGGAAGAAAAGGAGTAACTGGAGATGTCTAGCTTGTCACACACAAAAAGTCCCTCCCTCAGTAGTTGCTGTCCCATATACAATAGGTTTGCTATGAATGTCACACCTCCCATCTGTACTCAGGATACATGTGCTCTCCAGACAGGTTATGAAAACACATGGTTTTCTCCTCTTGAAACACTTCCTTCAGGGTTTGCAACTGATGGACATTTCCTGAATGAAGAATATGGTCTAGTCAAAGCCTTTTGTTTTTTTTGACTTGTGGATATTCGAGGGATCAGAAGGTGGTGCTTGCAAAAATACCACAGGCCATTTGCTTATCAATTTTGTGTTTCAGATACGAAAGATGTTAAAAAAGCCCTAGGGCGTCACTTTTTTTAAGTGTGCATTTTTTTAAGTGTGAAATTTCTTAGTAGAAAAAAATTCCATGTAAAATCTGAAATGCTACAAACAATTAGGAAATTCTAATTGAAGACAAAAGCACAAAATATCCACTTCAGCCATTTAAAACTATCAAATGAGAAGACAGTAAAGAACTAGCAAATGGTAAATAAAAATCTGATTTAAATTATAAATATTTGATTCATTTTGTAAACTTTAGGATTTCTATACATTCTGTTGTTCAGGTCAAAGGATGTGTCTTTCTCCTTGTGTAGACATGCCTAGCACATTGGGGACAACTGCCAGAGTACAGACAATAAATAAGACTAGATTTTAGTCACGGGTATTTTTAGTAAAAGTCATGGACAGGTCATGGGCAGTAAACAAAAATTCACGGCCCATAACCTGTTCATGACTTGTATTATACAAGCCTGACTAAATCTTGGGGGAGGGGCAGCCCAGGGGTGCCTCGGGTGCTCTAGGGCAGTGGGTCTCAAACTTTTTTCCTGGCAACCCCTTTCACACAGCAAGTCTCCGAGTGTGACCCCCCTAATAAATTAAACACACTGTTTAATATATTTAAGACCATTATAAATGCTGGAGGCAAGCGGGCTTTGGGGTGGAGGCTGACAGCTCGCGACCCCCCATGTAATAACCTCACAACTCCCTCAGGGGTCCCAGCCCCCAGTTTGAGAATCCCTGCTCTAGGGGGAGCAGCCCGGGACACCCATTTGTGCTGAGGAGGTGCACGTGGCGGCGGGCGGCCCGGGACCCCCACAGGTGCTGGGGGAGTTTGGCGGGGCTGGCAGGCTCCCTACCCTAACCTGGCTCCGCATGGCTCCCCAGAAGCATCAATATGTGTCCCTCCCTCAGATTCTAGGTGGAGGCGTGGCCAGATGGCCCCGCGCGCTGCCTCTGCCCCGAGCGCCGGCTCCCCAGCTCCCATTGGCCGGGAACTGTGGCCAATGGGAGCTGTAGGGGCAGTGCCTGTGGACAGAGGCAGCACGCAGCTTCTGCCTAGGAGCTGAGGGAGGGACATGTCGCCACTTCAAGGGAGCCCCTCCTAGGCAAGCACAGACCAGAGCCCTCACCCCCTCCTGAGCCCCAACCCCCAGCCCAGAGCTCCCCCACCCAAACTCCTACTGCTGCTGGGGGAGGGGAGGCACGGTGGCCCAAGACTGCCCCAGCAGTGGCTGATGTGGCTGGCCCAGAGGGTACCTGAGCTGCTCGGGCAGCCCTGGAACCAGCCAAACCGGCCGTTGCAGAAGTCACGGAGGTCCTGGAAAGTCACAGAATCTGTGACCTCCATGATAAACTCGCAGCCTTAACAATAAAAATAAAAAG